GCTCGCTCACTCCCTCATTCATTCACTACATGCTTGTTCACTCCCTCATTCATTCACTATACACAGGTGCCCCACCCCAGGTGTCCCTGTGCAGCCTCTCCACCGTCCTGCAGATCCCAGTATGCCCAGGAAGGCCAGCCCTTATGTAGGCTGGATTGATGTCCCTGATCTAGGTAGCTGGGCGGTCTTTTTCTATGTTCCTCTCCACTATCCTCTTTCTTTCTTTGAATCCTGACCACTGGATGGCCGTCCGGGGTCCCTAGGGTATGGTCTGCACTGCCACATGGGGGTGGCAGGAAAGCTCCCTGTCCAGTGGTGTGCTGGTCAAGGTCAGCTGTCTCCTACCTGGACTGTGGGAGAGAGGTCTCTGGACAGGAGAAGACGGGTTGAACCAGGCCAGGGAGGTGCCCATAGGGTTTTCAACCCATGCACCTGAGAACACCCAGGAGCCCCAGTAAAGGGGCCTCGGGTGCCCATGTAGGGTGAGGCTGGGAGACCAACTGTCTGCTTCGCCCAGGATTCTTGCAGGGGCTTCCAGGCTGGAGTGCAATGGCGCAACCTCGGCTCACTGCACCCTTCCTCTCCTGGCTCAAGTGATTCTCCTGCTTCAGCCTCCTGAGTAGCTGGGGTTACAGGTGTGTACCACCACGCCCAGCTACTTGTTGTATTTTTAGTAGAGACAGGATTTTGCCACGTTGGCCAGGCTGGTCTCAAACTCCTGACCTCAGGTGATCCACCCACCTCAGCTTCCCAAAGTGCTGGGATTACAGGCATGAGCCACCGTGCCCAGACAAGGGGCTTTTCATTTTTAAGCCAGGGTGAGGTGGTTGCTCCAGGTGAGATGCCTCCATTCCATGAACCCAGACGCTCCCCCTTCACCCATTCTATGGCGTGACTCCATGTGGGATGTTACTTGCAAAACATCAGCACTCGCCAGGTGTGGTGGCTCATGCCTGTAATCCCAGCACTTAGGGAGGCCAAGGTGGGCGGATCATGAGGTCAGGAGTTTGAGACCAGCCTGGCCAACATGGTCAAACCCTGTCTCTACTAAAAATACAAAAAATTAGCTGGGCGCAGTGACACGTTCCTGTGATCCCAGCTACTTTGGAGGCTGAGGCAGGATAATCGCTTGAACCCAGGAGGCAGAGGTCGCAGTGAGCCGAGATCGTGCCATTGCACTCCAGCCTGGGCAATAGAGCGAGACTCCGTCTCAAGAAAAACCCAAAAGCAACAACAAAAACACCATCCAGCGCTGGTTCAGGATGTGCCTGCTGCAGTGCTTGGGATAGAGCGACTGACGTCAGCATAAAAAGATAAGACGGGAGATGGAGAACGGGGTGCAGCGGCTGTGAGACAAAGCAGGCGGACCTCGGGTGAGAGGAGGCTTTGATGTCCAAAGGCTGCCTCTCTTCCAGATGTTTGAAAATCTTCCTAATGGAATGCTGTAGGGGACAAGCATTTGAGTGTCATGGCTGAGCCGGGGAGTGTGTCTGAGAAGGGCTGGGTACCTAGGCTCTGGGTCAGCCTGACTCACAGCTGGGGAAGTGAGCCAAAGGTGTCAGAACGAAGGAAAAGCCTGGGTAGTTGAATGTCTTATTTACTTGGAGACAGGATGAGGAGAGACAAAGGACTCCAGTTGCAGGTCGCCGCTTTCAAAATAGGCACTGCCTGGGGGATGGGGGATGTGGGATGCGGCCATTTCCAAGGCACATCCCTTCTCCACAGCTAGACGCTGGATTCATTCTGGGGACTGCCACTCTGCCCACCCCCAGAAGGGCATGACCAGCATGGCGTCGGGGCCACCTCGGCTCACAGGCTTGGGGCTTAGAGGGGCGGCCTTGTCCCGGGTCTTTAGGGAAAGCAGAGGGAGACTCCCAAGTCTGAAGCCTCCGTCCTCAGGGGGCTGAGTCAGCCAGCCAGCTCTGGCCCCCTCTCACCCTCCCCCTGGGCGGGCCCTCACCTACCACCTTCCTGAGTGTGGCCAGGGTGCAGGTGGCCAGCTGCTAGCCCAGAGGTGGCACCAGTATCCCTGGCCTCTGCCAGCCCTGATGGGACCCCTCCCTTGACCGGCCCTTGTGGACTTGGGGTCGGGGTGGGTTCTCCTGCCTCCTGTAGACCAGAGGGCCTCTCCAGCTCCTTGAGTTGGTTGCTTCCTGAGAGATTTCTCCTTCTGACAGCACCAGG